GGAATAATGAAAACGCAAGGTGCTTCTGTTTCAAGAGAATGGTATGCAAGTTTTGTTACATCCAATGGAACTTCAAGCAAAAGGCAAATTAGGTCACTTCAAAGGGAAGGTACTGGAACACCCCAAATCATTTGCCTATATATGTGCCCAAATAAGAGTACTTCTAGCTGAAAGGGCACATGGAGATCTGCATTGACCATTGCAATATATCCCTAATTGTTATCATTGTTTAATAATAGCATGATTGTGTAATCTTAGAAGGGGCCATGGCTGTGAGTATTGTTCTGAATTTTCCACTACGCTACTAGTTGTAGTCTAAAGCATATAGAGGACACCAGGATGGGGTAGGGAAGAGGGATGAGTATGTCAATATTGCTTTCTCTCAGTTTCATATTTTTGAATTTTAAGTTCAGTTTGCACCATCTCTGCAAATACTTGCAATTCTTTTTGAAGTCTGCAGTTAAACTTGCACTCATTTTCAGCCCACATTTCATCCATAATAATTTGTGTGCATATTTCTTGCAATATATACACAACTTTGTCTACTATATGCACTTTTCCAAGCTATTTCCCCTGACAGAATTCATTTTTGCATGCTAATATACACTTCTTCTTTTTTGGTGCACTTTTCAACAAGGTGCACATTCATTGGTTGGAGAAATGTAAATGTCACAGAAATTTTGTGTTTTCGTTCAGGAAGTACAATTTTGGTATCAAAATGCAAACTTGGGCCAAATGCCTTACCCATCACTTCCTACACCAGCACCAGCTTCATATGTGGATGAATCCTTTTAAAAATAATAATTTCCTGTTCTGTTCTCATGGGTAGGAAGGAGGAGAGTAAAGTTAGGTGAGTTGTTGCAAAGGACTCTGCCAAAATTCGGAGTTTATGGCCTCTTGGCACACACATGCACACACAGGATATGGAATGAGGCCTTGCTTCCAAAAGGAAGTGAAATGACTGAAAAACTTTATAAATGATAATATTGGTGAACTGCAGGGGAAGAATAGAACAGAGGAAAAGTTTAAGCACATGGATTCTTGAGACACGTGCTGTGCTGATTCAGCAGGTATGCTAACTACATTATCCCATTGAAGACGTTCGTAATTCATCGCTAAGTGTACTAATGGCAGTTTAGAGCCATGTGGCCAGTAAGTTGGCCATCTCTTGGCGGATATTAAACACTGGGAATAATAAAGGGGAATGTTATTGTATTAACTTTATTGATTTAGCAGGATTGATTGAGCCTGTCTCCCTGCAGAAGAGGGAGGGGATTTGCTTTTTTGCTGGAATGGCATCATTTTTCCCCTTTCTTTGCTTCTTTAAGCCAGTGGCTTAGAACCCTGGCTGTGCTCACATCCAAAAGCTGCGCTATTTGCATATCTCATTTACTGTGTCATTAGCAAGGCGTTGTAGCTCTGCACATGAGGGAGTTGGCATGTGTGGTTCCTTCACTCTTTATGTCTGTATTCGATTCCCCATTTTGTCCTTTCATAATTTGGAACTGTGTGTCTTTTTGACAGCCCACTCATAGACGCATAGAATTGTACCTTTGGAAGAGACCACAAGGGTCATGTAGCTGAACCCCCTGCAATGCAGGAGTCTTTTCCCCAACGTGTACTTTCACATTTAAAAGTTTTGCACCCGTGCTAAGTATTATTACTATGATTATATTACACACCCGTGCATAGAGTTGTTTTAAACTGCTTTTAATATTGTGCCTCAATGCTGTAACCCAGGCACCCCCAAACTCCAGTCCTCCAGCTGTTTTGGGACTACAACTCCCATCATCCCTAGGTAACACCACTAGTGGTAAAGGATGATGGGAATTGTAGTCCCAAAACAGCTGGAGGGCCGAGTTTGGGCAATGCCTGCTGTAACCCATCCTGGGACCTTTGGGTGAATGGTTGTAAATAATAATCATATTTGAAGCACTTTAAAGCTCTATATAAATGCTTAATAATGATGCCACCACTGTGGCTGCCCCCCCCCTTTAAGACGTTGCCTTAAAGCAAATCCATCTAGCTCACTGACTGGCCTCAGCTCTTTGGGGTATTAGGCAGGGAGCCTCTTCAAGCCCTACCTGGAGAACCTGGGGATTGAACCTGGAACCTTCTGCATACAAATCAGGTTCTCTTAGCTGTGGATGTTTCTCATGAACACTGGAAGCTGCTTTCCACCAAATCGTATCAAGCACCCAGCATTGTCTAGCAGTGGCTCCCCAGAATTCCAGACACCCCTACCTCAAGTTGCTGGGGATCGGACCTGTGACCTTCTATATGCAAAGCGTTGAGCTACTCACGCAGGCCTGCAGAAAACCCTGTTCCTGAGCAGTTGCTTTAGCAATCTTTGGATTTGAAAATTGGCACCAGGGTTTGGAGGGTTGGAGATTAAGATGTGTTAAGAGTTGGATTTAGTCCGTCGGCATGTTTCACTGTGGCTTGAGCTGGAGCCAAACTGGCGACTGCAATTAAAAAAAGCCAAGAAGCGATAAACATCGAGTGGATCTGTTTTCCCAGCTCCCATCTGTAGGCTTCCTCCCCCCCACCCTCGTTTCTTTTTAAATTCCATGCTGAGGAATGATTGCCGCATGACCTTGAACACGGCCCAATATCTCATGCTAAACGCATTTGCAACCAAGTTGGTTCTGTTTTGGCAGGGCTTTGATGTAGGTCGTTTTATTACCAGGCTGAATCCAACTCCATACTGATCTTCTACTCATGCCAAGAATGCTAATAATAAACTAATCAATGAGGTGCTGGATTGTTCTTGTGAAATGGTCCGTCATGATGGGGCAGGGTGGGGGAGAGATGCAAAAGTGGTGGAACAGTCTGCTCACAGGAAGGAATGGCTTGTTGCCCTGGGTGGTGGAAATGATGTTACCTTTGCTTGCTTGCTTGCAAGAGAGAGTTTTCTTTACCCCTGTGGTCTTTGGCAGTATGCAGAATAGGGCAGTGCCTAAGAGCGCAGGCTCATCTTTATTTTAGCTTGACCTTTTGGTACAAGTAATTTTTATAGTTCCATTAAATGGCGAGATCGTTTGCAAAAGTACATTAGGAAGAGTGCCGTGGGGACCACTATCCTATTATGTGGAATGTTAATAGAATGAAAAATTAATTAAATGCTAAAGATTACAGCAGGACACATTCTTTTCTCTCTTTCTCTCTCTCCCACCCCACCAAAAAATACTAATTCATGGGACAGATATAGAAACTTGCACTAACTGCAACTCAATTTTCAAGTGGGAGGGTAGATTTGATGTATTGAACCCAAAGCTGCCATTTTCAGTGTAGGCAGTTAATCAAAACTTCTTCTCTTCAGAGGTGCAAAGCATCTTTCAAACCCTCTAGCTCATTTGTCTTCCGAACTCTGCCTAGTAAGTCTTTCTATTTCCATTTTGCAGCGAGAATAATTGAGGCCACTCAAGATTATCGGGTAAAGTCAGGACTTTTCAGAATTCAGATTCCTCTTCATAATTGCTTGGGTCCAATTCTTGTCTACCACTGGCTTGTGCTGTAGGAAGGGATGGGACTCAATGGTAGAACATCTACTCTGCATGCAGAATGTCTGGGTTGGACTGATAGACTGGTTATAGAGCTGCTGCCAGTCAGTGCAGTCAATACTGAGCTACATGGACCAATGGCCTGAGTCTGTATAAGGCAGCTTCCCATATTCTTAGGATTCTTTTTTAATGCCCAGGTTTCTGTGCAAGATATATTTTAAGGATTATTGAGATAAAGTCTGCAAAGCTCTTTAAATGCTAAGGAAAAGCACAATGTAAGACTTAGATTTTTAAGTGCCGATGGACTAAATTAGTAGAGTTGTGGCAACAGGGTGTCTGGCTGCTAATTACAGTCTGATGCTGCACTGTAAAATCCAGCCATTAAAACTGACTATTGGATAACATTGTGTGTGTGTGTACTCTTTTTTGCATGAATCTGTATGGCTCTCCAATCAGGAGGAGGTGGGAATGACACTGTAACAAATGTCTTATTTTCTGATATCTTACAAATTTGGTTGAATATAGTACAATACAGTACAATACAATACAATACAATACAATACAATACAATACAATACTGATTTGCTGTTTTTGTTGCACCAAAGTAACAAAATATTGTTCACACATTTAGCAATTTTGTGAATTACTTTCTTTTTCAAATGGCAGACATGGGCCCCCCGATTCAGACTGGGATCCTGGTAGTGATGGTGGGCGTGTTTGTGGCTTTAACCCTTTAATTCTCCCCCAGACTGTAATTCTGATTCATCCCAGTCTCCTTGCACCCAGATTGCACTAGGAGGGGAAAGCTTCCAGTGGCACAAAGATACCCCTCCAATGTAAATAGTAGGTTGGAACTTTCAGCCTGGATTGGTACGGCGGCGGCGGGGGGAGGGTTAATGCCCTCTATATCTTCATCAGAATCCTCACAGAGATCAGGTCTTCTGATTGTGTGAATGCCACATCGTCTGGTTAACTCTGAGCTTCTATCTTGATCAAAGCAACATCTGTCTTTCAGATCCTGCAGGACCTCTCCCTGCTGTATCTGAATCCAGTGAATAGTCTAGTTCGGACCTAACACTAAACCATTGTCTTATATTGCTGGAAGAAGCTGCAGGGAGCCTCAGACTTACGCATTCCCGCCCCCCTCTCTTCCAGTGCAGCTGTAAGGAGGGGCTAAGGCTCATTCTGGTAACACTAAACCATGGTTTAGCATTACATCCAAACAAACCATTATGCCTTAATAGCTCTTGAGCAGAGCCAGGCAAGATGGTGAAGTCCTCATTCAAGGCATGTTCAGTGCCCTATGGAGGCTCAGCCCAGATGATTTGGGTTCGTTGTTTTTGTGTGTGAAAAATATATTGACATACGTTATAAAACCCTTAAGGATGCAGACAAGTAAAAAAAAAAAATCTCTGCTGGTAATCTACACAAATCACACCCCTTACATTGCTCCCCTTACATTGCAACATAACAAATGATTTTCTTCCCTGTTTCCAGCTCTCTGCACAGAAGAATGTGTCCACGGAAGGTGTGTTTCTCCCGACACATGTCACTGTGAACCTGGCTGGGGGGGCCCAGATTGTTCCAGCGGTGAGTAGAAAACACAGCATTGATTCTCCACAGCCTTCCTACATAGACGTCCCAAGAGGACAGTGCCTTATGGTAAATCTTTTGGTTTCATTTGTCTATCCTGAGATGAGAACAACAATGCAAACGAAGCAGCAAACCTGTTACTGGTTTTTAACCTGTTATTTATTTATTTATTTTGGTCAGTTGGTTTTGATAATGTCATGAATGCACTATGACTCATTTGTTGCTCGCTGTCCAAGCATATAAGCATCTTCTGTTGAGGTTGAGCTTCTGTAGTAGGGAGGTTATTCCATTTCCCCATTACTGGGTTCTTTCTGCTATATGGGGCGGGGGGATGTGATTCTTCTCTCCACCCACCCGCCTTGGCACCCAGATATAAAAGCTGTAGTGGTTTCTGAACGGAACGTGGTTGTTCAAGTGCTGCAGACCCTTTATGGTTTGACGTCTATGTCATCGTTACTGGTAAGCTTTGCAGAGCTTCCCTCTCCTCCTGGCTTCATGCTATCTTGCTCTTTCCTTCTTCTTTTTAACCATTGCAAACAAAGCTATGCCTTGCACTGGGGCTGGTTCCAGGGCTCAAGTGGCCCATGCCAAACAGCTGTCCTATGGGACTGCCTCCCACTCCTGATGCCTACTCTGAGTTTTTAATTAACATTATCTTCCCCACCCTGTCCCCTAGCACTATAGCATCTAATGGCTTCTGGATATCATATTGCATTTGCCCCACACCCCAAAAGCCTTGAAAGTTGAGTCATTCCAGAGTGGTGTGTGTATGTGTATGTAGGACTATGGATGTCACTGATGCTTTCATCCTCAAGGACAATTTATAGGACCTTAGAGGCAAACCCAAAGTTCATTTTTAAAAAAAGAAATAAATATTATTATTATTTAGTAATGTTAGCAGGAGTTAGTAGTGGGATCTCTCAGGGCACTTGTGCCCCAGTACCTATTTGAATTTGCCTTGTTTTTGTGCTGGGCCTCCTGAATATACAGGCAGACTCTTGCCCCCCCCCCAAGTTCAGCCTTTGACCTGCCTGGTGCTCTCTGGATATTTGGGGCCACAGTGCCCCAACAGCTCCAGCCATTATGGCCTTCGTGGGAAGGTTGGCCTAGTCCATTGTCATTTACTGCCAGGGACTTCAACATTGCACAGCCTAACATTGTTTTTAATCCTAGCATATCTGAACTTCTGTGGTCCCCTGGTGTACATTAAGTTTTATGAAACAGCTGAGTATACTTGTTTTATGATTTGTGCGTTTAATTATTATTATTTTTTAGTTAGGGCATCATTTTGTTCATGAAGAACATGGTATTTAATTCTTTGATTACTAATAAGATGCCCTTATAATGAGGATGATTAACATTGAGGCGTAACTAATGTCTTAAGGCATTAATTTCTTTAAAGAGGGTATGCTCTGAATAACATAATAAGCTAAGGAATTTCTTGCTGGGTCAGATGAAGAGCCACCTAGCACAACATGAATAGATAGATAGATAGATAGATGATAGATAGATAGATAGATAGATAGATAGATAGATAGATGATAGATAGATGATATAGATATCTCTACCAGAATTCTAATAACCAGTAGTGTTGAGAATAGGTCCTATCCTATGGATGGACCACTGTCCATCTTCCTCTTCATTTCTAGACTGGCAGTGGCTCTCCAAGGTCTCCCTCTGTCTCTGCAGTTTGAAGTCTCTTTAAGTGGTGACCCCAGGGACTGAACTTGGGACTTCCTGCATATGAAACAAGTGCTGAGTCACCGCTGAGCTCCATCATCGTGCAGCTCACGTACTGGTTATTGTGTTTTACATAAGAAACTCGAGTCACAGCAAGGTTACACTCTCTCCTTGTTCTGCTCTACCACTTTAGGAGCCCACTTTCTAAAAAAAAACCCAACAACCACAACATTGTTCTCAGGAAGCTTGTTTATGAAACAAGAGTAAAATATGCTTTTGAACCATTCTCTTTTCTCTTTAAAGGAACAGTCAAATGGGGCATATAGTTAAGGTTTTTCAAATACATTTTTGGTGCTATAGCTTTGGACGTTTATCTGTTTTGCTCAGGGGAACTGGGGCAGTTAATATCAGCAAAACTCGTTATGGCTTTATCCTCTCGGAAGGATAACTTCTGTGCACCTGCATCCCAACTGACAAAAGAAGGCCAAATTTGTCTGATCTTCTGCTAATTTGGCAAATCACCCCATTTGCTGGCTTGGCAGACTCATTCTAGAACGTGTACTTGAAAGTAAACATCAGAGTTACGCAATATAAGGTGACACATCTATTTCTCCAAATAATGGTAATAATCTTGTTAACTCTGCTGGAACAGATGGGTAAATAATACAGCTCTGTCCAATAAACATATTGTAGTTAACTGAGTGGGCGGCCTCTCTTCTATTCTGGGTATCGATTAGAAATTTCAACAAACATCTGTGGAGATGAAGATGATGATGGAATGGTATTTTGGTTCTTTCTGTTGGAAGGCTGGAACACTCCCTCTTCTGCATCACAGATTTGGGTTTGAAGGATTATGGAAGCACATTGACTAACAAGAAGCATTTTCTCTCCCTTCCTGAAATATACTTGGAGTCGAGAGTGGATTTCATGCTCTTTATTCAGCTCATAGTGGTGAGGAGGAATGAATGTTCCCCCAAAATATCTGCTTTATATACATTATTTACACGTGATTGGCTAATTCCGGGATTCTCCTGTAGGCCAATCGGGTTGTGGATTCACTTCCACCTGGAGCTGGATTGGGTGGCTGCTGCGGACCAATCAGACTGCTGCATTTTGGATCCTATTCAACTCAGTACATAACACCTCCCAAGTCCGTACGGCTATGCAGGTAGTTAAGGAGGTTGGGATTACAGTAGTTGAAGAGTGAGGGTGTAGTTTATGGCTGTATCCAAGGAATTCCTAAAAGGTTACACTGATCCTGAGGAAAGAAAGGGATGTGTCTGGGGGAACTCAAAGAGCAGGTGGGAAGCCTTGTTTGAACAGGAACCAAAAGAGGGCGTGCATGAGGAATGGGTTGCCTAATTGCCCAGGCAAGGGATTTCCTAGCACAGGCTCCCAGTGAGTGGCCAGAACTGAGTGTGGATCACACCCAATAGAGACTGCTCCGAAGTGGACGAAAACTAGTTGAACTGGAAGTGCCAGGGATTGAACCTGGGACCTTCTGCGTGCAAAGCAGGTGCTTTACCCCTGAGCCACACCATACCCACTCTAGGCATGGGCACTCACAGCTGCCAATAAGTGGTGTACGGTTCCACTTAAGGATGTTAAATTCCCTTGTCTTAAAGACGGGGGAATCTTTTCCTCAGAAGGCAGGCTGATAAGAGCTAGCAAGTCTGGATGAAATACTGAGTGGCTATTAATAGAAAAGCTTTTTAAAAGCCCTTGGTAAAAATGATTGTGAAATATTGCCCAGAAGTCATATTATTCTGGATTAGTCTTTTTATCATCTTTTTCTTTTCCTCTTTTTCTTTTTGCCCACAGACACAATGCATACTTCTGTAATACGTATGGTTTGGGGGCAAATGGCAGGGTGGGGCAATGGCAGAGCCGTAAAAACTCCAGTTGGTGTAACAAAGACAAGGCATGGATAAGGTTCCAGCCTCTATATAGGTATTTGCACCCTTGTGCAGACATTCTGCATTGTTCCTCTTTACGCTTGTTGTTGATTATTTTATCATTTCTTGAATCTCTATCCCACCCCTCCTTCCCCTTGAAGGCGCTCAGGGTAGTGGTGATGAATTGTGATGGTGGCAGCAGTCCCTGTGCCCTCCACAAACCCACAAAGATGTATGTCCACATTTGCATAATCTGCATACTGAAAAATGCATTCCACACTGAATATCCGTACAGGGCTTTGGACAAATACCATTATGTGAATCACAAAAGGCCACTAATTTGGGAAGGGGATTTCTCTCTTTAAAGTGGAACCCTCTTTACATTAAATATTCCAGCTTTTAAAAATAATTAGGAATATTAAAGCACTGACAATGATGGAGAAGGAAGCATTATTCATAACTTTTATTTCCGCTCACTGGGCAAAGATCCAGCATATTTCATTTGCGAGAGGGTTTTTTTGGAGGCTGTAGGGAGAGGGATGTTAGCCAACTCCTAAATTAACTATTCTCTGGTAGCCTTTGCAAACGTTACCCCGGGATTAGCCTTGATATCTCAGTGTACTCTTTTCATTAAATATAATTACTGCATTTGTTAGTCTTGGAGATTTGGATGTCTTCATATCCCACTGGTGAATTCTGGAGAACTTGGGTTGTGAGCCTTAGAACAATTTCCTCCTCCCCAATCTGGTACCAGATGTTTTGGACGATAACAGGCATTCCCCCACCCCCACCCCTGCAGTACCATCTGCCTACCGCAGATTCTGGCTTCCACAATCTAGGAATGGGGTTAGCTCAGTGGTAGAGCATCTCCTTTGCATCCAGAAGGTTTTGGGTTCATTCCTGGCATCTCCAGATAGGGCTATGAATGTCTCCTGCCTGAAACCCTGAAGAGCTGCTGCCTGTCAGAGCTGTGGCCTGTTCTGCTTTGATACTTCCTGGCAGCTTCCTATGTTTCTGTGCCACTCTTCTGAGCTCTTTCCCCATCTGCACCAGAGTTTCTATCTGCCCCCCTTCCTTTCTGACTTTCTCCTCTAAACACCAAACTCCAAACATGGCAACATAGAAAGCTGCCTTGTTCTGAACCAGACCATTGGCCTATTGAGCTTAGTATTGTCTACCCTGACTGGTAGCAGCTCTCCAGGGTTTCAGGCAGGGGTATCTCCCAGCCCCACCTGGAGATGCCATTGGGGAGTGCACCTGGCAACTTCTGCATGCAAGCCACTGGGACATTGCCCATCCCTCCTAAACTGGTGGTGGTGCCCTCATACCATCAATGTTTGGGGCATGGCCCACTTGTTGAAGACGAACGATCCGCAATCCCGTCCTCCAAACTGCTGGTCTCTTGTAGCCCTTATGATGGAC